GACTTTAGTACTTTTTGTTGTAAATACTTAAGCATTCATATCATTAATGAGCTCAGTATTTTTTACATTTCTTTCTCTTGAGGTGAATGTTACATGTGATAAATGCATACGTCTTTAGTGTACATTTGTTGAGTTTTGATAAATGAATACACCTATATAATCTAAACCCTATCACGATATGAACCATTACCGCATCCCAGTAAGTCCCATCATGCCCTTTCCCAGTTGATTTCTGCCCAACCCATAGAGGCCAGGGCTGTTCTGTTTTGTTTTTTAAAATAATAGCTTCAAAATGTTGATTCGTACCAGTTAATATTATTAATGAGCCCTCAAATAATCTTTCTTCAGTTGTTTCCTGTTCTCATGATTCAAATAGAAAAGAACTCTGCTTCCAAAATTTGAAATCAACCAAAACGAGGGGAAAAGGAAAGAGAACTCGACACAGCGTCAGCTTTGTAATGGTTTTCTCCAGTTAGGCCTTAGTGTTATGTGATTTAACTTATCTTTCCTCGGGGTGAGGAGATGCAGAATGAAAATAGGGTCAAAGAAAAAGAAAAAAATAAATATAAATAAAAATAGAGTCAAAGGTCACACTTGCAGAAGCAATACAGTATTTCTCTGTTTCTCACCTCCTCTCCATTCTCCCCAGTCAATTCCAAGGTCATTCTGGCCTCTTAAATTCTTACCAGTGGTTTCAAGCATTCCCCACATGTGTCACATAAGTTTCCTAACATGACCCAAATCATCCCTTTTTCTGTTGACACTAACTTACCACATTTACTTGGGTCAAACTGATACTCCTAAAGTCTGTGCTAACCTAAAGGTGAATTATTTTCCAGAAGCATTCTTGGTCTCTTTCAGAAAGAGAACCTTGATGGCCAAATCTCATTTGTCCTCTAGATATACTCACACATGTCTGAATTTCCTGTGGATTCACGGGCTCAGCTTCATCTTGGTAGCTGTTGCTATTATCACAAATGACACCCTTCAAAACTAAACCATAGCTCAGGGCCGTACCTTTTTTCTAGCCTTTACTCCTCCAGTACAATGGGAAATACTTCATTTTTTATGTTGGTGTTTAGCTTTTATACATTCCTTTTCACGAAGTGCAGACTTGCATACCTTAAACATTGACACACCCAGATCTACCTTCTGTGCACTGAATTTGGACTCTTCTAAGCCACCTTATCTGCAATGGTTTTGAAATAGTATGGGGTTGGCACTGACTGTCAGCCAAAATTTAATTTCACCTATTTTCTTGACCTTATCCAGGCAGCAGTATTTCTTTAATATTTGAATATTCTATTTTATTCTTATTTGAAAAATGAATTCACAATAGAAAAATGAAAGAGCTGGTAAGAAACAAAGGCCTATGTATCTTAATAATAAATTTGGGATAAAGATTAAAATTATTAAATGAGTTGAAAGCAGTGATTTGTCAATATCAGAGGCTCATTAGACTTCAGTTGCTGGTCTGTAGGTTGAGGTGTATTTTTTCAAAAAGAAAGAACATATTGGGATTCTTAGAAATACACCATCAAAGATTGGGTCAAAAAAGGTAAGTGTAATAGAGATTTTATAACATTTTTGTAGCTCTTTAAGAAAAAAATTCAAATGTTAAAGTAGTTTACTATAATGTAATATTCCTGCTACTATTTATCACAATTTATAAATGATAAACATACTATGTGATTATTTATCCAATGGGGATTTATCCCAGTACACTGTAATCTCTCTGAGTTTTTCTTCTTTTAACCATACTTCCAGAAGAACCTAGTAAAATGACTAACACTTAGATAGGTTCAGTAATTGTATTGAATGAATTAGTGAATTTGTGTGAATATGCCTTTAGAAAGCTACTCTGGTGCTGAATTGAAGGATATGCACATTTTAAATATTGATAGATACAACCAAATTGCTCTCCAAAAAGCATAAATTCCATTCTTGAGGAACTGGGAAAACCTAAAAGGGATATAGATTTTTTTTCTTGTGAATTAATAGGTTTTAAAAAAAAGCCCCATTTTACTGTGTTTAAAATGTTGGGGTAAAGAATTACATTGTATTGAGAAATTATGTTTTAAAAATTTTAAATTATGGCTTTTTCCAGGTTGGTAGTGTTGTTACTCTGGGGTTTAGATGTTGGCCAGGTGGAGAGTAGGAAATGTATTTTAGACAGAAGGAAGAGCAAGTGCAAATACACAATGTAAGAACAAAAATCCAAATATTTGACAATAGAGATTAGATAACTTGTATACATCCATTCTTTGAATAGTGAATGAGGGTGGTTCTGTGGCTACTGACACAGATATATTATTGAGGGACAAAATGCAGGTGATATGATCTTGTGTTCTTGAAACCCTCAGTATGGGTGTGTGTTAGCCCACTCATGCTTGTACCTGTGCCCGCAGGGAAAAATTGGATGTGTGTGCAAACCAAAATGATAGCTGTGTTATTCCTGGGAAGTGAGTGGTTTAGGATTGAGTTATAGAGATTTTTAATTTAATATATTTCAGTGTTAATTGTTTTTTTTAAACAGTCAATTCTGTATGTATTTTGTAATGAACTATTTTTCTAAAGAAAATATGGTATGTGTAATCACAGTGGGCTGCTCTTAAGGTGCATTTTTAACAAATGTGCAAGAAGCATCAGAACATTTCTCACAGCATTCTTTACTAGACTTAGACAAAATAGATTAGTGGTTTTCTAACATTTCTGGAGATGTGGAGCCTGTTGTTTAACCTCAATCCTAGGCAGAATTGCTGAATGTGAAAGCGATGAAAGCAGAGTCAGCTGGTAGAAGCCGAGAGTCAGGGGCTTCTCTCAGTGTTCCCCTCCCCTTACAATCTTTTGACAGCCCCTGGGGCTCTGCTGAACACAGTTTGAAATACACTGGTCTCTTCCCAGGATGCTTTTGATTTAGTCCTTCCTGAAGGTCAGAGGGATATACCAGCTCTGTGATTTTAAAGCATAGAGAATAAAGAATGCCTACAGGTAACCCCGGAATTCTCTCTTGCTTTACAGAAAACACGTTTAGAGCAGGGAACATTTGTGTCATGTAAGATATTTCCAGATGTTCAATAGAAGAGAAACAGTTTTTATTTTGCATTTCTCGGCTTTGGAGTCTTATAATCTTCTTAAATTCCAAGTTTTATGATCTATGCCCTTTTTATATTCTCAAAGTGACTAAAACAGCTTTGTTAAATCAACTGATACAGGTTCTAAAAATATCTGACTGTTCTGCCAATCTTAAATGTAATGAGACAAAAAACTTAAAAAAAATAAAACATTACTTTGTATTTATTTGAGAATGTGGCTTTTCCAGGTCCAAACAACTGAACAAAGAGCTAACTACATGTTAAAAACCCATGAATAGTATTTTATAGTGAAATGTAAACCAATTTTTAAAAGAATTATTCTTCTTTTAGAATGTATACATAATTTTATATTTACCATTGCATGCCTAACATTTGATTTCTGAAATTATTTGTACTCCTAGAAGCACAATTTCTTAATATTATACATATATTATATTTAATTTAATGTAAATGTTATGTTATCTTGATATAAGCATGCTAGTGTGTTTAAAATAATAGTGAAAGTATATTATCACATTTTATTCACATAGACCCAAGTTTTTGTTAATGGCTTTATTTTTATTTTAAAAATGTGCGTGTGACTATATAGTGGAAGGAAATAAAACAACGATAATGGAGAAGATGAAAAAAAAAATCTGTCTTCCCCACAAGGTGGTACTGTGGTTCTTTTACTCTTTCAAAAATCTAAGCATAGAATTGATATTTCTCCACTTGTCTTTCTTCCCCCACCCAACATTTTACAGGTGATCTTCAATTGGAGTCTAATAAAAATGAGAAATAATTTCAAAAGAAACTTGATACTTTTAGGTTTGAGGTAACTGACAAGTAATTAAAAAATTCTCTATTTGTCCTTAGCTTTTTGATTCTTTTGTAAATACAAACTTTGGTTATAGTTTATGATGTTTATACTCTAAAGAGTTGAATTTTGTTACAAAGAAATAATGTATTTTCAGATATCTTTAAAATGTTTCAATAAATGAATATAAAGGCAGCTCATTTTTAGGCAATTCAAGTTTTAGGCAGTCCGGTTTTCACTAGCTACTCCCAATAAATAAGAACTTTATCTAAATCGCGGTTTTATAGGTAAAAAATCACAGAATATGCTTAAAAAGCACGAGTGTATCTTGTGCTTTTTAAAAGCTGTACCTTTGAGCTTATTTGAAGATTAAAAAATATGTTTTTGTGTAAGTATGGACCATCATATATGAATTTGCTTTTTCTCTTAGTAAGAAACCAAGACTAGTAATTCAAGACGGGGTTCCAGTTTCAGCTTCTCAGTACCGTTCGCGGGCGCTTGGGGACGTTTGATGAGCTCTTGCATAGATTTCTGGGCCTGGCGGCGTCGAGGACATTCTGACAAGGCACGTTGGTGGTTTTAGGGGTCCCAGAGATCAGAAATTTAATGGTTGGAAGTAGGGCAAAGGGACTTGTGTCTTGAGACCGTATTTACACAATAATCAGAGTTCTTCCTTAACTGCCCGAGTATTTGGGTGACCCACGGAGAGGGCGAATGGAGATTATGGGCATTTATTATCTTGGGGAGTCTAGGGTCCAATAGGAAGTGGAAACATCTTTGATGAATTCGTTGGCTACAATAATGAGCTTGGGAGGAAAGGGAGAATTCAAAGAAGAGAAGAAAACGAATTCTTCGGGAAATTGGGGAGACAAAACCAAGGGAAAACACACGAGTCAAAAAGGATAGCAAAAGGCAAAGAAAAAAAGGCAGAACGCAGAAAAGTGGAATAAACGAAGACGGGGCAGGGCGCTAGGAGCTCGAGGCTGGGCATCCAGCCTTTTATTTCATCCCACGGGGAGCCCGCGGAAACAGCGTCTTCGGTTCCGCTTAATATGTGGGAAAACATCGACCTTAAAAGGTTGGGAAACTGCTCAAGGTCACCGAGCTAAATGCCAGAGTCAGGATTCTCATCGCTCCTCAACCGGGATCTGGGCTTTGGCGGGATCACGCCAGCCGCTCGCTCGGGAGCAAGGAAGAGCAGGGCGGGTGGAGGCGCGGCCCGGGGCTGGAGCGCGCCGTGGAGGCGGCGGGGCGGAAGCGATCATTACCTCCCTAAACAGGAGCGCTTCTTAGGGGGCGCGGCCCGAGGTCTTTCCCAGCCCGAGACTGGGCACAGAAACGAGAAGCGAGCGGCCCTGGGCTCCGGCGAGGGGAGAAGCGCCCCATCCCTAGGCTCCCCGTTGCGCAAAGGCTCTTCCCGCATCGCATTCAAGGTCCCCTGGCCACGCAGTGGCGGGGTGCCCCCTGGCGGGGCGCGCAAGACAGAGGGCTGCGGGCTGAGGATGCCCGGGGCTCCTGCTGAGTTAACCGCTCACTTCAGGACTCAGGAACCTGGCGGGGACGACGGTTCCCAGAGTCCGGGATCAAGCTCCGCAGTGGAGCGTCCCTGTCAACGAGACCTGACTCAGACCCTAGGAAATCGCGGGTATTTACCAACCTAGCGGTAACTTAACAAGAATATACACAGAAACAAGACTAGGGACGTATGTACTTCATAGGAGGTAAAAGCAAAACAACCACAAAGAAGAATAACATGCAAAAGGTCTGCATTGTAAATCGGTACATTTTCTTGTTCTGAGCACCGTTTTCGATGAAAAGCTCCTGCCAATCCTGAGTGATTATTCAATGATTATTAATTGACGAGACACCTTTCACCTAGAAATGGCTTGTCTGCATTGTCTTTCCTCGCAGAGAGCTGCGAATTAAAGTTTCTTTGTTAGAGAGAACAAAGAAGAATCCAAATTATTTTAAGGAGGCTTTAGCATTTGACTTGGCAAACGGTTTCGCTGAAGATCAACCTTCGCCCTCTGTCACAGCCTCACTGTAAGTTATCTTTGCAACAAGGCTAATGCTCTGGCAGGCAGGTTTGGCCCCCGCCCCACCCCACCCTTTCCAGAAATTAGCAATTAATTTAAAGTCGATATTTAGAAGCCTCGTAATACAACCTTTTACTTTCACACGGAAGGTAGGTGAGGCCTTGGAGAAATGAGGGGCATCTTGTAAATCTGTGCCATAGCTTGGGGCCCGACACCAGGTCCCGCCCTGGCGTTCCCCGTTTTGGCTGGGGTGCTGGCCCGACCGCTCGGTTGTCTCACTTTAATTTGGCCCCGCTCCCTGCGCCCATCCTCCTTCCTGGGAGCCCAGTTTAAAAACTCCCTTCTTGAGTTTCTTCTCCAGAAGGCAATGTCTTCTTCCTTTTCATTTTAAAAATTATTTTCTTTTGCTGTCAGATTCATTCTGACATAGATCAGGGGTGGAAAAGTGTGTGGTATAGAATAGAGTCATTAGTAAATCCATCTCGTTTTTTGTTTCATTTGACAGCAACACATTAAATTAATCCCTGTCCAAAAGAATCACATTAAGCGAGCTGTCAATGCTAATCCCCAGCTCATTGTTGCTACCTAGCTCGGGGTTGACTTTAATAGGTCGCGCTGACATTTGTTTCTTCAGAGGCACATCGGTGACTTCATCCAGACCCAGATCTATTCTCATCAAAAGTGGAGGCACCTCACAAGTTTTCACAGACCCTGAATTCTCTGGGCTCCTAGCTTAGGATTTAGGCTCTTGTTGGAAGTACTGACTCGCATTTTTACCTTAAACTCAGTGAAGATGGTTATAACAATAAAAAGAATGCAAGACAGAATCCTCTCTGAGTGAAACAAAAAGCCAATTTAAAAAAATATATATATTAAAAGTAGGGTGATGATTATTCATATACTTGCTTTTAGCATCCTATATTAGCTTCTACAGTTGTATACCTGATTGTATACAAACCAGATTTTGGGGGGGGGGGTTGTTTTCAAGTCAGATTTAAGATAAAAACAAGAATGGTTGAAAAAAGTACATAGACTAATAAAGGGAGAAGAGGCAAGGATGAGAAAATCTTATAGAGTAAAGACCTATAGAAGAGATGGATGGGAAAAAGGGACTTTACTGGCAAGAAAGAATAAATCTAAGTAGTAATTTGGATAGAAAGAATTTAGGCAGTATGAAAACTAGGAAAAAATACATTAAGATTAAAGCATTCCATTAACCAACATTTAGAAACTATGACTATAAAGTGTTTTCTTTAAATGTATTCTCTCTGCCTCTCTCTCCCTTGTCTTCCATATCCACCAACCTCCTACCCGCACATTGATAGGGATTTTCCAGCTCTGTGCTTATGACATTTATGGATTCCAGATCTGACAATCATATATTAGCCTTTGTCTGGGCAAAGAGAAAGCAGTGGATTGATCCAATCTTAAATCATTTAACCTGTTCTTAAAATACGCTTCCCACCTGGTTATTCTTGTGTTCTTAGAGATTTGGCAAGGTTTTTAAGATGCAATGGGAGCTAAAAATTGAGAAATGGGCATCCCATCCATTATTTAACAAACATATTGAGTGGTTAGTGTACAAATACTACAGATCCTTATATACCAGGAAAGAATTATGTTTATCCTGTTTTTACTAATTGAATCATACTTTTTTCATATTGCAAAGTGATACTGTAAATCTTTTTGTCAGGTGAAAAATTACCTCTGCCTCAATTTTTTTTTTTTGGAAAATCTATGTTTTCAAGTAAATGTGGCACAGTTGTACCTCTTACTCTCAGGATTTTAGTTATTTTTATTTTCTTACTTTTATTACAATTTTTATTTCCTTTTGCTTCCTTCATGTCTTCAGAGTTATCCCTGGACATAAACATTTTAAAGTTACTTTCATATCATCCCTGTAATACACATTTTCACTGAGCTTCTTATTGAAGGCAATTTCATTTATTTGAGTGAACAACTGAGATTCATTCGGAGAAAATAGGTCAGGATTTTTTTGGTGGTCCAAACAATAAGATGGCAAAGGATCAGTAAGAAAAAAGAACTATGCATGCATTCAAGAATCTCCAGACAAATGCCAGGAGTGTAAGGAGTAAGAACTTAGGTTCCTATTGCATCAGTGGACTAAGACCTAGTTGACATTTTAGAAATTGGTAGGTTAGAGCAGACGTGAGCAGAATGCTAAAACTCCCGGGACTCCAAACTTCACAATGCTGTGTAGTCAGTGCAGTGTTTTGTATACAGTAGGCACTCAGTACATAATCTTGACATCAATAATGAATGTGCGGGTAAACCTGCTTGGCGAAGGAGATGCAGGACTAGATGGATACAGATAGGAAACTGAAGAGAAGGCCGGAGGTGAGAGAGTCAGACTTTGTGAGTTGTAGAAGTGGTCACAGTTGGTGCTTTGCTGGGTTTTGCAGTGAGGGTGTGCTAGTGGTAAAGAACTCTCCTGCCAATGCAGGCAGATGCTGGAGACAGGGGTCTGATCCCTGGGTCAGGAAAATCCCCTGGAGGAGGGCATGGCAACCCATTCCAGTATTCCTGCCTGGAGAATCCCATGAACAGAAGAGTCTGGTGGTCTACAGTCTTTAGGGTTGCAAAGGTTCAGACAACTGAAACGACTTTGCAGGCATGCACGCAAGTGACTGCGGAGCTGGCTCTGTGGGGCTCAAGGCAGAGGGTCAAGCCAGTAGACAATAATGAAGTGGTATATGAGTACTTCTCCCTTGGAAATATATTCTTATGCACTTTTCATTGTATTCATGCTCAGATAGGAGCTTTGTCTTCAAGGAACGTGTGTTTCAAAGGAAAACTACATATGTCCAAAGTTAGATCATTCATTATGTGTAACAATATTGGGTCAGAAAATAGCTTTCAGTGGTTGAATGCCTGGGTGTACCTGTGGTTCCCTCTGCGAGGTCTGGAAGAGCTCCTCCATTTCCTCTCTGCTGGATGGGTGAAGTAGGGGATGCCCCAATGAAGAACCACTGGTGGTGGACCCCAAGGCCACTGCTGGAAGCTGGGCTCGGATCTGGGGGTGGTTGTTGGTTTGGTGGTGGCTGCCATGGCAGTGGGGTTACAATGTGAGGAGCCTTCTGGGGTTCTGGTAGAGTAAACCCCCGTCATGCTCTGGAGCCTCAGGCCACTTCCGATACCCTCCCCTTCCCTCCTCTTCCCTGCAGTGATTGTTTTCTCTGACTCAAGGGCGGGTCTCCCTGCCTTCCTCTTCCATAGCTGTCTCAGGTGGTTTTTGTCTGGGTTTTCTTCATCTGCTGGGGAAATAGAGCCCTCATTCATTGTTTTTGCCCTGTCTCCCATCAGACCTTGAGGCAAACAAAGCATTTTTTAATTTTTTTTAAAAGATTGTTTTTGTTAGTCATGGGAGTGGAGGGCACATATAGAGGTGAAAGGGTACTCCCATTTTCTTTTCATTTATACGCTTATGTTTTTATTAAAACACAAATATATATATATATATATATATATATATATATATATATATATATACACATATACACACACACACAAGGACCTGAGTCAAGCTAAATTTCCGACTCAACTCTTCTAGATATTTGTCACAGGAGTTGGGGTAGATGTCTGGGAAGAATGGGCTTCTGAGAGTAGAGTAAGGATTAGAATAAGGGTGTGGGCACTGCTGGTGATATTACAGCTTTGACTAGGTGGGAAGTCGAAGGGAAGAGGTCAGCTCGGAGGCTTTTCCCTCCACTCAACTCTCGTGACTTGCTGTTGCTTCTGAACCACAGCTTCCCCCCCTACCCAGGACAGCAGGGAGCAGGGTGAGGAGTCAGACATGCAGGATTGTTTCTAAGTGTTGATAATCTTCCCTGAGTGCTTGATGGCCTCTCATTACTGACCTTTGGCATGTTTCTGTGATACTGTTTTCTGGGTTACTAGACCAGGCTATGGAATATAAAGAAGACCCAAGTCGGCAGAGAAAGGAGGTGTTCAGACTTACATACTATTAGTTTTGTTCTATTGCTTCTCAGCCTTAGAAAGACTGTAACTGACAACTACAACCCATTTTCAAACTTAATTTATATCTGTGCAATTTAGGTAGAAAGCCCCTGGGCAGGTACGGTAACTTTTTTCTGTGCCTGCCAGGGTACCGAGCACATTGAAAGCATTTAACAAATAATGATAATAATTTAAAGCAATGGGAGCATTGGGTGTATAGGGAGATAAGAAACTGGAAAACTGGGGCCCACTAATAATTAATAATGTCTCAGGAGGTGGTCCCACTGTTTTTGGATTTTAAATCCCCTTGTTCAATTTCTTGCTGGAGTGAATTCTGCACAAAAAAGAATAATCTTTAATTTGATACTTAGTCACTTCAGTGTCCTGTGCTGAGCTGGCTAAGATTGCATATTCTTATGAAAATATACGCATTCATAATCAGTCTGATAATGTTGCTCCCTAGGGCTTCTAAATGCAAAAGCAAGAGATCATTTACTCAGATATGTGGCTTCAAAGTCACAGGATCTTCTGAGAAGTTCACATTTCTCATTTTTCACTTTTTATTCTTGGAACTGAAAGGAAAACAACACCATGAAAACTTCTAATTGAATACAAAATGAAACAAGGCCTGGCACTGGCGAGTTAAG